AAATATTTTGCATTATCAATTATTGCGATTTATAATACTTTTACGTAGTTTATAAATATATAAATTTAATTTCAACAAAATTGAAAATTTCACGCGTTGGTTAGCGGTCAAACTTAAATTGTTTGACTCTCGAAAAACGAAAAGTATCACATAAATTAGAACGAAGGGAGTACAAAATTAAATTAAAGAAGAATAGTCTTGTTAGAACTTCTTAGGATCTATACAATCGTTTTGAGAAAGAAATGCATGTTTCTGTCATGTTCTTAATATCAAAATTTTCAATCTGTTTTTACTATAGCTTACAATATTATCACGTGACAATTACAAATTATAATGAGACAGCTTGGGTATTAGACATAAAGAACTTGAAAGAATACACATATTTTCTTCTCAAACTCATGGTGTGGATCCTAAAAAATAAGAACAAGATACAATAGTTGTTCTCTAATTTGTACTACTCTTGAAGAACTTAAAAATTCAACAAATATTCACGTAGGAATAATAATAATTCAAAGTTGAAATAGGAATAATAATTTAAGGTTGGAATAGAAATCTTTAGTTGCTTAGAATTTGGTATTTAATTAATCTTTAGTTAAAATTTACTTGTCCTAGTTGATTTTATAATCCTTATTGAATTTGGTTTCTTATTATTACTATTATAAATAGGAAGATTGCTGAAGCAGAAAAGAAAAAATAACAAGAAAGAACAATAGAGACAACTTGAATATTTTGAGCAGGAAACGAACTTGAATGTTTTTGTATACACACTTATTTTAACCATATTTTAGATTGTTAATCCAGCTGATTTTCTAGAAAAAAAATTGTTTAATTTATTGTTGTTGAAATCATGGTTACTTGTAAACCACAGAGAACGCCGGCAGAGATCGAAGATATAATTCTTCGGAAAATCTTACTTGTATCTCTAGTTGATTCATTGGTAAGCGATACACGCATTGTGTATCTAGAGATGACGGCGGCGGAGTTTTTGAGTGAGGGTAAAGAGTTAAAGTTGTCTAGGGATTTGATGGAGAGGGTTTTAATCGACCGACTTTCCGGTAATTTTGTATCGGCGGAACCACCATTTCAGTATTTGGTCACTTGTTACCGTCGGGCACATGAAGAGGGGAAGAAGATTGCGTCGATGAAGGATAAGAATGTTAGGTCTGAGATGGAATTGGTGGTTAAGCAAGTAAAGAGACTTGTTGTATCATACTGTAGGATACATTTAGGGAATCCTGATATGTTTCCCAATTGGGATATGGCACCAGCAAATGTATCTCTGTTGCTTCCTTTGTTGTTTTCCGAGTTTTCAACTTCTGTGGATGAATATGGTGGGAGCAGTGGTAGTGGTGGAGTTTCAAGTCCGCCTGGGTTTTTGGATGAGTTATTTAAGGATGGGAATTGTGATAATATGGAACCAATACTGAAGCAGTTGTATGAGGATTTGAGAGGGACTGTGCTAAATGTTTCAGTATTGGGTAATTTTCAGCAGCCTCTTAGAGCTTTATTGTTTTTGGTTAAGTATCCAGTAGGTGCAAAGTGTTTGGTGAATCATCCTTGGTGGATTCCGGATAGTCAGTATATGAATGGAAGAGTTATTGAGATGACAAGCATTTTGGGTCCTTTCTTTCATGTCAGTGCTTTGCCTGACCATACAATCTTCCAGAGTCAACCGGATGTTGGCCAGCAGTGTTTCTCTGAATCGGCCACAGGTCGTCCTGCTGATCTCTTGTCTTCTTACACAACAATCTCAACTGTTATGAATAACTTGTATGATGGCTTGACAGAAGTTCTGATGACTCTTCTGAAAAATTCAACCACTCGTGAAAATGTCCTTGGATATCTTGCAACAGTTATAAACAAAAATTCGTCAAGGGCAAAGTTGCAGGTTGATCCATTATCTTGTGCTAGTTCAGGCATGTTTGTAAATCTCAGTGTCGTTATGCTTTGGCTTTGTGAACCTTTCTTAGATGTCAATTTGACAAAACGGGACAAGATTGATCCCCAATATGTGTTTTCTAGCACCCGTCTGCAACTGAGGGAGTTGACTGCTCTGCATGCATCATCAGAAGAAGTCTCTGAATGGATAAATCAAAATAATCCTGGGAAAGTTGATGTCTCTAAAGATGGCAGTGTTGGAAAAAATCGGTTGTTGGCATCTCAGGAAGCTACAAGCTCTGGGAATGACTCTGGTGGACCTTCAATTATCCACTATAACAATCCAATATCAAGTAGTGAGAAAGCTAAATACCCCTTCATATGTGAATGCTTCTTCATGACTGCACGGGTGCTCAACCTCGGCCTCCTAAAAGCATTTTCAGACTTTAAGCATCTTGTTCAGGACATTTCAAGATGTAAAGATGATTTGTCTACCATGAAAACCATGCTAGAACAAACACCCTCGCCACAGTTGCAGCAGGAAATATCTCACTTGGAAAAAGATCTTGAGTCGTATTCACAGGAAGAATTATGCTATGAAGCCCAAATACTGAGGGATGGAGGACTTCTCCAGCGTGCATTATCCTTCTACAGGTTGATGGTTGTTTGGCTGGTCGGGCTTGTTGGTGGTTTTAAGATGCCTTTACCTTTACCTTTCCCTTGCCCTATGGAGTTTGCATCTATACCTGAGCACTTCGTTGAAGATACCATGGAGCTGCTAATTTTTGCTTCTCGGATTCCTGAAGCTTTGGATGGTATCTTGCTGGACGACTTCATGAGTTTCATTATCTTGTTCATGGCAAGTCCAGAATATATCAGAAACCCTTACCTTAGAGCAAAGATGGTTGAAGTTCTAAACTGTTGGATGCCCCGCGATTACAGCTCTACTGCAATGTCTACTTTGTTTGAGGGGCATCAACTCTCTCTGCAGTACCTTGTGAAAAATCTTTTGAAGCTTTATGTTGACATTGAATTTACAGGTTCCCACACGCAGTTCTATGATAAATTTAATATCCGCCACAACATTGCTGAATTACTTGAATATCTTTGGCAAGTTCCAAGTCACCAGAATGCATGGAAACAGATCCCCAAGGAGGAGGAGAAGGGTGTTTATTTGAATTTCTTAAACTTCTTGATTAATGATAGCATCTATCTTCTCGATGAAAGTCTCGGTAAAATTCTTGAACTAAAAGAGCTGGAAGCTGAAATGTCTAACACAGAGGAATGGGAGCGAAAACCAGCTCAAGAAAGGCAGGAGAGAACCAGTCTGTTCCATTCACAGGAGAATATAATTCAAACTGATATGAAATTGGCAAATGAAGATGTGAGCCTGTTAGCATTTACTTCAGAACAAATCACTGTCCCTTTTCTTCTTCCTGAGATGGTGGAAAGAGTTGCTAGCATGTTGAATTACTTCTTACTACAGCTGGTAGGTCCACAAAGAAAATCTCTTAGCTTGAAAGACCCTGAAAAGTATGAATTTCGTCCGAAAGAGTTGCTCAAACAGATTGTGAAAATATATGTCCATTTGGCGAGAGGAGATAAGGAGAACATCTTTCCAGCTGCAATTATAAGAGATGGTCGATCATACAGTGATCAGATATTTAGTGCTGCAGTTGAAATCCTTGGAAAAATTGGTGAAGATATGAGTATCATACAAGAGTTCATCGACCTTGCTGCAAAGGCCAAGACTGCAGCTTCAGAAGCACTGGATGCTGAGGCTGCTCTTGGAGACATTCCTGATGAATTCCTTGACCCGATCCAATATACTTTAATGAAGGATCCTGTCATTCTTCCCTTTTCGAGGAAAACAATGGACCGGCCTGTTATTCAGCGGCACCTTCTTAGTCAGAGTACAGACCCATTTAGCCGGTCTCATCTAACTGCGGACATGTTGATTCCCAACACTGAGTTGAAGGCGAAAATCGAAGAGTTCATCCGGTCCCATGAACCGCAGAAGACTTTGGAGGATTAGAATTTGTAACACACAAATACAACCATACAAACAACTGATACTTGAAATTTGATTGAGTAGGGATTTTCTCTTTTTTCTACATTTACCCCTGATCATTGTATTATATTGAGTTTTCTTTCCTTTATGGGATAGTTCTTCTTTTCACTTGTAGTAGTTGATTACTTCTTACAGAAATAGATAAATACTCCAAAAACAATTTAAAGTTCTTTACTTTTCATTTTATTTTTATGGTGGGAAGTGGGAGGGTATAAGAACTCGGGGAATTGAATTCTCATCAACAAAATAAAAGCTCAAATAATTAATTAACTGAGCTATTAAAATTCTCCAAATATGTGAAGTCTATAGTCCAATCCATAATATTTTTTTCATTACCAAGGTCATTATAATCCTTTAAGTTCCAAGAATAAAGAGAAACTGATGTTCTTAACATGTTCACATTATGGACTTCTCAGATACAAATATGTATAGGTGAACTGAATTTGGTCGGCCAAAAGTTATTTGATGCTGAAGAAACAAGAGCTTGTCATACAAAAATAATTAGCACTTCTGCTGTAAGTCGAGTGGTAAACAAGATTTAGTTCAACTTCTAAAACAGAATTAAGTTAAAACTTAAGAAGAAAACAATATCTATATAATAATATGAAACACTTAAACTGTTCTACAACAAAATAATCCTTGAATAACTTGCTCAGAACCACAAAATAAACATTAAAGTTTTTCCTAGGTATGGCTATTAGCAAAAATAAGAGAAGCAGACTAATTTAATTGAGAATTAATGGGCTGAGTAAAACATTGGAGAATTTTATTTGAGATGCAGGCACAATTAGCCATTGGTTAAAAGGGAGTTCTATTCATATTATGTGTAGCTTTGCTACTTTGTTGCTACAATTCTCAGTTGTTATGATGCAGTGAGTATTATATATATTAGTATTGTTTTGAGAAATTAGAGTTGTTACGTACTTGGTATGTTGACATAATCATTTACTTTGAACATCACAGATACACAATCATGCTCTGAAAATAAATTCCAGATAGAAACACCAAATTTCACAAGAAAATAACGAAACAAATCAGATCCAACACAGAATTTCAGTAGAAAAAAGCTTTAATTCATTAGCAGTAATCTTTTAAAGGCCAATTACAAATCGAAATCAAACATCCTTTACATTGACCCAAAATACAAAAAAAAAAAAAAAAAATTCAAACCCTAGTTGCTAGTGAACTTAGTAACAGCCTTAGTTCCCTCAGAAACAGCATGCTTAGCCAATTCACCAGGCAAAACAAGTCTTACAGCAGTCTGAATTTCCCTAGATGTAATTGTAGGCTTCTTATTAATCCTAGCCAATCTAGATGCTTCCTGAGCAAGCTTTTCAAATATATCATTAATGAAACTGTTCATTATTCCCATAGACTTGCTGGAAATACCGATATCAGGATGCACCTGCTTGAGCACCTTGAAGATGTAGATCTTGTAGGTTTCAACGCTCTTCTTTGTCTTCTTCTTCTTCTTGTCGACGGCGGCATCCTTCGGGAGCTTCTTTCCGGCTTTCGGCTTCTTCTCTGCCGGAACTTCCTCAGCCTTCTTCTCCTCTACTGGTTTCTTCTCAGCTGGCTTTTTCCCTCCTGTCTTTGGTGCCATTGTTGAGATGTTTAACAGAAGGAAGAAAAGGAATTTTGATGAAGAGAATGCGTGAGTGATGAGGTAATGAATTGGGGGAAGTGAGTATTATATAGGGTTTTGATTCTGTTGTTTGATTGGTTATTATCGGTTTACGCGGATCGTGATTGTGGACCGTTGATGAAAGGGAGAATGGACGTTCCGTATTCTCTGTTTTAATTGTTTACAAAGTGAAAAGATAAAAGAAAAAAGTACTCCCTCATTCACCTTTGTTTTACAAAATATATATATATTCCCCTTTAGTTGTCCTCTTTAGGATATTAAGATAAAATAATTGTTTTATTTTATATTTAGTATAAATTATTTTAAAATTAAATAACACATAAATAGATAAATAATTAAAAGTTAAAAAGAAATATATTAGTTAAACTACATTTTTTATTAAAATGAAATCATTATTAATTGTATAAAATTTTATTGTGACAGTTAAATGCAAACAAAGTATATATTATTTTCCAAGTTCGTTAACTCTATACACTAATGAATATGGCTACGGTATTACAACCCACGCTAAATAGATTAGGCATACAGGTATTTCAGCCCATTGTAGTTGAGGGCGCGCTATTTATATACATTCATTAGTTTGCAAGGGATTCAAGATCAATTTTGATAGGGAGTAAATGATTGTTCATGTACCTATTTCCTTGGAGGCTTAAGTAGAGGCTCATTTACTTATCTTTTCTCATGTGAATCTTTCGTCTACTATCTCATTTCTGCATGACCACATCAACACAAGATATACTTATTGGACTATATGTATTAACAAGCGGAAACCATCGAAGTATTAACTTAGGCAATCCTCTTTAAAAATAAATCATTCCTAAGAAATAAGAGATAATTAATATAAATCTCCAAAAATATGTAGTTTTTTAGTAATTTTTTCATTACGTAAAACTCTATTTAGTTAAATAAGCATAAAATTAAAATAACATTATTAATATCTTGTAGACTGTTACCTGAACGAGTAAAAATAAAGTGAAAAATTACAACCGGAAGATCTTTTTTCTCCACAGAATTAAACTGTGCATGGACTAGAAAACAAGAGATATTCTTTAGCTTCATTAAAAAAATGATTTTAAAACGTTTTTATTTCACTTCAATACTAAATATCAATCAAATATGCTCATAAAAAAATTATATATATATATATGCCCATTATTTTTCCATTTAGACTTGCATTTTACCATTTAAATTTCGTTTCTTATAGCACATATATGTTGATATCATTTCAAAACGTTTTTATTGATTAGAATGAGAACAAGTGCAGCTGATAGCCAAAAGTTCAAAAACGTTGATCGTATATTAATACTACAAACATCATTTTTTAGTAATCATTAAGTTCTCCAATCTCCATTAGGAGAGTATATTCTATGATAGAAGTTACTTTTCGTAAAGCTTGAGGCAGATTCACTCCATGAAATTAAAAATGCAAAGCTTGTTATGTACAAGATAGGTACAGACTAAGGGAGGTGAATACTCAATCACAAGGAGCTACATTGATCAAAAAAGGTACCACAGCAGATCAATTATTGCTGAATGCATTCTGAGTGCTTCTTGCAATAATCGAAAGGTGAGAGGTAGTGCTCCGTCTCAAGGTTTATTTAAAGTCACTAGTCGATTCAATTATACGAGTGAAAGGCGAAAGTATGTGCAATCAGGTTTAACATGTCAAAGATCACCGAGTCGTCAAATAGGGGAATAGGTTGTTTTATGCATCCAACAACTGAAAGGGGTTGCGAAGAAGAGTTGTGTAATAGCTGATTCATAGGTCAATATATCGTTGGATTTGAAATCGAACTCTCGCGGATAGGAATTAGACTTTCAATGGTCCACTCTTCTCTCCTAGTGATCAAAGCTAACCCCAGAAATCAGGTATTCCTTCTTAAGAGGATGCTAACACTTCCGATCTTGCTAGCCGGGGGCTCAAACTTTCAAGATTCAATCTTTCCCCTTCCAGTCCCAGGAATCCTTCTTGTAGTAGAAGGTTTACTATGTCCCCAACTTCTCTTTATTAAGACATAGGTTGTCTACTGTAATTAGATTAAGATTGTAAAAACAAAAGCTTGTAATATAGCTAGACCAAATTCATATTCATATTCATACTTAAACAAGAAGTCTTATAGTTTACAACTCTTCTTTATATGGCAATTCAACCTATTCCTACGCACCCCCCTCCCCCACAATCAGTAGGACATGCTTGCCTATACAGCTGCAATAGGTGCAGGGTATAATGCTGAAAATTAAAAGGAAGAAATGAAAGCAGTTTCAGAAACAAGCAGTAGCAACGACTTAGGGAACAATGATCTACCATACTTGGAGAGCCCAAAACTGGAAAATTTTAAAAAGAGTACATGTACAGACAACTAAGATACACACACATATAAAGCAGGAGAATTTAGATAGAAACCGCATAAATAGAGATTGTAGATGTAGTGGTTTTCTCCAATGGCTGAAAGTGTTATTAGATTTGTGTTTTGGTAGAGACTTGAGATTCCGCTGTGCTCAAGAGCTCTTTAGGAGTATGGTTCTGTTCACGAAATGGTAATGTTTACATAATACCTTAACATAATGAGATGCCCTTTCAAGAAATTCGTGAAGAGGATAATCACCTACATTCAAGATTAAACAAATCCTCCGGTTCATCAACCAATAAACCATAGATGTTGCCTGATATATTCGGAAACACTTTAGAGTGTAATTTAAATTGAGAACAAAAAAGATACAGCTAACAGGAAGGAACAACAAAAGCACTCGGAAAACACCAACAAGTTTCTCCAAGAAAATTAATACTGATGAGAATAGAAGTTCAATTCAGACAATAGATATTTAAGCCTGAGTTAATTGCCACATTCTACTTGGTTTACAAAAATTCCAGAAGAAAAACCACAGAACACAATAGATTTTTCGAGATACGGAAAATTCGAACATAACCAATACGGAATTTCATTTGGGAAAAGCTTTGATTCATTAGATTGTATCATACTAAGGCCAATTACTAAACAAACATCAAAAACAACAATCCTTTACATTGACCCAAACGATCCCCAAATTAAAACCCTAATTGCTAGTAAACTTGGTGACAGCCTTAGTTCCTTCAGAAACAGCATGCTTTGCCAATTCACCAGGTAGCACAAGTCTGACAGCAGTCTGAATTTCCCTAGAAGTAATAGTTGGCTTCTTGTTGATCCTAGCCAATCTAGATGATTCCTGAGCAAGCTTCTCAAAAATGTCATTGATGAAGCTGTTCATGATACCCATAGACTTGCTGGAAATACCGATATCGGGATGCACCTGCTTCAAAACCTTGAAGATGTAGATCTTGTAGGTTTCAACGCTCTTCTTTGACCTCTTCTTCTTCTTGTCGGCGCCGGCATCCTTTGGGAGCTTCTTTCCGGCCTTAGGTTTCTTCTCAGCAGGAACTTCCTCAGCCTTCTTCTCCTCAACTGGTTTCTTCTCCGCTGGCTTCTTTACTGCCTTTGGTGCCATTGTTCAGAATTGAAGGATTATTTGAAATTTCTTTTGCTTTGGTTAAGAGATTGTGTGAGTGATATGTTAGGTTAAAGAAGAGTAGGATTTATATAGGTTTTGGGATCTGTATTTGATTGGTCAATTACAGGTTACGAGGATCGTGATTCTAAGCCGTAGATTAAATAGAGATCGGACGTTCAGTATTAGCTGTTGCGTGTTGTTAGGATCCACGTGGTTATCTGTGATTCGCTAGTTATGGTTTTCGCGGATCGTTCAATTTCTGCGATCTGTGTGAAAAAAATTTAGTGGGAAGTTTCAATTTTCGTTTTTTAGTGGGCGGGAAAAGGAATTTGCTGCTTATTTGAATTGCTTTGGTGAAAAAAATTGTATATTTGATTTCGATGATTTCTGAAATAAAGAAAAAAAACTAGTAGCAAATACATTACTAAACTTCCAATTTATAGCTGCAATATTTATTTTTTATAGTTGTATAAAAAAAAATTAAAATTACATTTAAAAAAAAGTCTATGAAACATGTGTCTGTGTCACGTCTCATATTTAAATGATTTTGTACCAACATTTAATTAATGTCTTACTTGTATAGGTAAACCATGATTAATTGATTATAGAGTAGATTTCTCAAAAGGTTAGTTGAATATGTGACATTAGCTAGTAAATCACTTAACTTATTTTGTGTTTGAAAATCATTCGATTTATGAACTTTTGAAATAAAAAAATGATATCTCTAGTCATCAAATATCTTACTCGATGAAGTTTCTAAATGAATTATTATTTTTCCATGTTATGTACATATTTTTATCATTTTTTTCCTTGATTAGATTTTTATCACTTCCACCTTTCTTTTGATTTTCCTCTCATTAATTACATTTTATGAAATTATACATGTTATATTCTTTTGTGTATTATTAGCTATGACATAATAGTAGTGTTGGAATGCATAACTTGGCAAGAGGATTATTCTAAACCATTTCACTTATCATATATGTGTCACATTTTATCCTTGTTCCCTCAATACGGTAAATATAGGTATTATTTGTTATAAAACAATATGCATTAGTGTCAAATAAAAATAATAATTAACATTTGAATAAGTATAAATTCATTTCAACTCGGCTTTATAAACTTTCAGTAATAATTGCATAAATCGTATGATTTGGTACCATTTCAGTTGAATTGAATTATCAAAACCACGTTTGAATCTTTAACAGGGCTAAACATATGTTTGTACATTTCAACAAGAATAATATATTTTTACCGACACAATATCCAAGATCAACTAGGTAATTAATCTAGCGGTGAGTAGCATATGTCCCACTTGATGACTTGATCATATCATCTTATCGTAGTGTTACGTGAATCATCTCATTCATGCTAATAGCTCAATACCAACATCTTCTTATGACAAAAATTTGTCGCCTTTGAAAGAGTCAAAATCTATAATGACACATATAGTTTCACGAATATAATGATAATTTTTTGAATCTAATCTCGATAAACACAACTAATTATTTCAAATAATATTGAAATATTCTTAAAAAAAAATTCATGATCTAATAGCCTAAAAAATACGTACTTTTATCAAACCATGCCTTTCATAGTCAATCCAACCCATATAAATAAAGTTAAATGTAAAATGTTTTTAAAAAATGCTATTTCAATTTATTCCTCACTTGAAATGGAAAAATTTAATGAATTTGAAACATTTAACCACACATTAATGCAATATTTTGTCAAATTCGATCCAATACACCCAATGTAGTCAAATTATATTTTACAACATTCATCGCTGAATCAGTCAATGCAACGTTATGAACAACTGTCTGATAATTTGATTTTCTTTAGTAGTTCTATTTCAATTAATAATATAGTCAATCTCTTCTATCTCTCTTTCGTTGTTGTTGCTCTTAAATAAGTTTTTATCAATTTTGATTTATTTTTCCATTGAGGCAATTCTCACAACAATAACAATTGTTAATATTATATTAAAAGCAATATGGACATTTTGAATTTATCAATTAGAGTATTATTATCTAATTATATATTTCTCTTTACACTTACAATTCGAAAATAATTCTTTACTATCAATATCAGGAATCAGGATAATTATTATGTTTTTAAATAATGTTCAAGATTAAGTCAAAAAAATTTTAAATTTTCGTTACAAATTCTCATATGATCTCAAATTTTCTATCACGCTCAGATCTATCTCTGCCTCTCGATCGAACAAAAGTCGTTTGATCCTATATAAAAACGCGTACTCATCATGGTCTAAAATATGAAATAAACCTCTGTGAAAATTTTATAATTGACATATATAGGACTAATAATTATAAGTTATGACATTATTCTTTATCTTTCAAGTTATAACAATAAAAAATTATAGGTTATAATATTTTACTAAAATAAAAATGATTTAAAATAACAATAAAAATTAATTTGTGTGAAAAATAAATAAGGTAAAAATGGATATTTTAGTAGTAAATAATTTGAAAATATTAATGATAATTTATCAGAGACATGAAAATAGAAGAGTCATAACAAAGGAATATTTATTTTTCTTGTTTAGCTCAAAGCAATTATTGGCATTTTGAAACAGATTTCTTTTCTTTTCTTCAAACGTTTCTCTCTCTTCTCAATATTTTCGTTGGTTAGTCATCACTCTCGTCTAATTTCAATTTGTTTTTATTCAATAATCTTCATTTTCTTATAATGGACGGTTTCTTATTAGCATTAATAAATCATGGTGGTAGATAGAATCCTTCAGGTTAGTGTTCTTTCATATATTTTATTTGTATTGGTAAGAAAATGTAACAAAAATTATGAACATTCAAACTGGATTTTTTATAAAGATTTCGTTTGTGTACAATAGTTTTAATTAAGGTGTTTTTTTGTTTTGTATACTGTTAGATTTTGATATGAACATTCATTTTTTTTTTGTATATTTCTGATTTAAAATTACATAAAATTTGTTTGTAATTGATATATTGGTTATACCATGTTGGTACGATTCTTGCATTATTTATTCTGGTGGCGTGATTCTGGTATGAATAAGTAATGACTTATGGTATGAAATAGGTATGATTTTGACATCAAATAAATATGAAAAGTGTGCATTAAAATTGTATGAAATTTGTATACTGATTTCTGAGTTTTTGTTGTGTATAATAATTTTAATTATGACATTTTTTAAAAGTATAATGTTGCATTTTGAACATTTAATTTGTTCATTATTTGTCTGAACCAGATATTATTTTTTTGGTATGTTTCTGGTTAAAAAATTACATAATCTTTTTTTTTTGGAATTTGTATACTACTTATAACAAACATGTATGGCAATTTATAATATTTTTTGGTACGATTCTGGTATGATTGATTATTTTTTTGGCATTATATTGAAAATGAATTTGAGAATAATAATGTAATGAATTTGGTATATTGTGTATTTAATAAATGACAATTAATAGGTAGAAATGAAATTATTTTGGTATTATAGTGGCATGATCCTAGTATGAATAATTGATGAATTTTGGCATGAAATGTGTATGAAATGTGTGAATAAACTTGAACGCTGGAAAGAATTTGCTGATATGAAATTCAAGAGGTCTAAAGTTACATGCAAGACACGTCGTCGAGAGGACCACAACAGGAAGACATGTTCAAATTACCCTGCACCAAAAAAGGTCATAATTTATAATTGTGACAAACTCATGTTTTGATTTATTCTGTCTTTTAAGCTAACGAATTATAATTCCAGAACATTTATTATGAGTACTATAAAATCTGTTTTTATGTATTAATTGTATTTCAAATTGTCACACCCCAACTCGAGGGGCGCAACTGGCTCCTAATGCCAAAACTCAGGCCCGAGCCGACCATGCTGAACCATTTGCTACTAGCGCATGACAGCCACACGCAATCAAGAAATCAAATAAATATATCTCGGCTTAAAACTAAGTCATCGGCCGGCAAGGCCCCTATCAACTGATCTATAAAAAAAACAGCTACTCTTAGGAGATCATATAAATAAATAGTCAACTAGCACAGAAGTGCTGATTGGGTTGTCGAGGCCACCATGATATCTATACCAAAACTAAAAGCAAATATTTATTAATACAATACATCAAACATCTCACAAGCTTTCGCAAACCAACAACATAGGCCAGCATGGCCATAACGTAGCTATAAACCCCACACACTAGTCTGCAAGCCTCTAAGAGTAGTAAAGATTGGTGGGACAGGGCCTCAGCCTACCCATAAAGATATATACAACAAAAGGTAACAAACCTTCCAACTCTGGCAGCTCCGGAGGAAAGGGCTTAGCCAACCGGATAAAAGTCAATCCTGCTGCTGAGTAGGTCTACTCAGTCGTCTGTTAGGACCTGCATGCATGAATGCAGCGCCCCCAAGGCCATGGGGAGTCAGTACAAAATAATGTACAGAGTATGAAAGGCAATAGACTATAATGATGTATCCTGATATACTTAGAATAATCCAATAAATAAATCAAGGCTAAGATAAGTGTACTGATCTGCTCCTAAATCTAAACTTATCAAAAATAATAAAACAACAACCTAACCAAGCTCCCATAAGCTCGGTAGGTACAAACAGCACACAAGACCACCTACTCAGGCCCCCATAAGCCCGAAAGGTGTCAATCAGCCTAAATACCCCTATCAGTAGTCCCCTAGCCCCGTAGGCAGTCACATAGCCCTCTTAGACATTAATATTGCCTTGTAGGTAGGACATAGCTCTCTTAGGCATCAACGTACCTTATAGACAACTCATAGCCCTCTTAGGCAACAACATGGCCCTGTAGGAAGCACATAGTCTTCTTAGGCGTCAATATAGCCTTGTAGGCAACTCATAGCCCTGTTAAGCATCCATATAGCCCTGTAGGCAGAACATAGCCCTTCTAGGCATAGATCACATTCCTGCAGCTAACCACAATAGTCCCAACGACAATAATAACAATCCAACCGCTAAAAATGAGCAATTTAGTTATAAACAAC